TCGGTTTTGCGCAAATTGCGCAAAAAAAATAGCGCAAAATCGCGCAAAACTCATTTCGATTCATGCGCAAAAATAGCGCAAAAGTTTGCAAAAAAAAAATTTGCGCGAAAATTGCGCAAATTTTGCGCAAAAGATTTAGCCATTTCGTGGAAACCCTAAATCTCCCCTTCCCTCCATTTATTGCCACTTGTCACACCCCACAATAGGGTGTTCACTGTACAGGGGAATTCATTGGTAAAAACAATGCAAGCAAAATACAAATTTAGCATAAGCTGTAAATTTTAACCTAAATTCTTTTCTTCAGTATTAAAATTTTTGAGTATATTCTGCTTTTTGTGCGGAATTTCTTTAGACTATTTTTTAAGGAATTGTGAAGCAATAACGCTTCTTGCACCATCTTCAGTTTTGGGCAAAATTTAACGCAATTGGCAAGCAAAATAAATTAGGTTAAAAGGCCCCCACAAAATATAGAAAGTTTTAAAAATAGTTTTATACTTCTATAAATCGTTTCCAATTAAGAAATTCTAGGTTTTGCTATTTTTTTTCTTTATTTATTGTCCACAAATATAAAAATTCAATTTTTAAATATTAGAACCTTCTCATTTGCCTCATTTATTGTAGGAACTAAGAAATGAGGGGAGGAAGGCCAGCCACAACAATTTCTAGTCTGAGCAACATTATCCTCATTTTCTTGTCCAAGCCACCTCAAAATTCTCGTCCTTCGCTTATTATAATTTCCCCCATGGAACCACCCTTAAAAAATATATGGTTTTTGCTATAATTAACAACATTATAAACTTGGAATTTTTTGCGGCATTCTACACACGGCATATCTGAAAATGCGCGTAAAAAGATGATTTTTTTTCAGGACATTGCAGTTGCACTCAAAACTTTAACTCTATTGAAAGTATTTTTTTCAATTTACAAAAATTTTATATTTCGTTTATTCTTTAACCTGACCCAATTCTTAAAAAATTGTTTTATCTTGGAGAATTGAACACTTTAAAAAGATAATATTCGAAGGACGAGGATTTTGACTTGGCTTGGACGGGAAAATTAGGAAAATGTGGCTCAGACTTGAAATTGTTGTGGCTGGCGTTCCTCCCCGCATTAAATAAACCCTACATCAATCAGAATTTTGGAATATTGTTCCTTTCAAATAAAGGAAAAAGATTTTGACACTTATATGTTTCAGCTGACAATGTATTGAATTTTTTTGCTAATTATGATCGCGATACTGAGGTACTTTTATCTTAAAAAAATACTTTTTAATTTACTTAAAAAGTTAAATATTTTGTTTTTCGTTTTTTCTCCTTTTTTTCAACCAAATGATTGTTTAAAAAAAGCAAACATGACCATGTGAGGACTAGATGTTTTAAGAATGTTACAGAGACATCACAAGATAAATAAAAATTATAATAAACTCTCAAAAAGAATAATTTCAGCCTTTGACTAGGTACATTTAATAATTTCATATTTCATTCAGTATAGATGATTTATCATACATTTGAGAATTTTATTGCGAAACGTCCAGACAAAACAACAAAGTGGTCAGCCAGGACAAGAAAATGGTCAGCCAGGATAATAAAATAGTCAGCCAGAACAAAAAAGTAGCCCCAAATTTAATACCCTCATAGTCCAAATATAGTATGTCAGTGGTGTGTCCTTATTGTTCAATGTGAATTTTTCTGGCCTGTGTGATGTTCATGGCCCATCAGTTCTAATGAGAGATAAGCTATTCAACATAAGAAACCAAGGGGGCAATTTTAAAATAACACCATTTTAGATGTTATTTTAGTTTTGCAACTGCAATAGGTAGGGTACATGTGAACATAACAAACACATTCATAAGTGTATATCATATTTAAGCTTCTGCTATGATTTCTATTTAGATGTTACATTTGACCCTACAGAAAAGAAAGGCAAGGACCTTAAAACCATATAATTCTTGCTTTATTTCGCCTAGGATGATGAATGTGAATGGAAATGGGAATTTAATGTAATTCCTTCCTATTCCCCAGATGGAGATTCATTCATAGAAATGATGGATAATGCAAAAGTCCGTTATAGAATATCTGATTTTATCAAACAGATTGATATTTTAAACACTGAAGGAAGCTGGGAAAGTGCTTGGAATGAAACCAGAAAGAATCAGTTCAGGTAAATTAAACAATCCAATGATGGTTAAAGAGTGTTTGAGAATTATACTGAAAGTCAATTATTAACACTAGTTTTTACTTGATTCAGTTCTCTCATAAATTTTTAAATTATTAGAATGAATGTGTTCCCATATGTGGATGATTACATTCTTCTTTGCAACACATGGAATAGAAGTATCTCATCAATTACTAAGTTTAGACTCTTCCCAGAAGGTTCCCTTGTAGATGTGAAAGGTTAATCCAAACACATACAATTCTAAAACTTCAAGTTGCTATGTTAGAAATACAATATAACTTTACGGAATAGACACTTGAGACCATATTAACTGAATGCACTTTTAGGCTTGTATGTTTTTATCCACAATGAGGGAGAGCTTCTTCAGAGATTTCTCAGAAATGACATAGTAGATATAAATCGGCTAAAGCATTATAACTTACAAGTTCAGATATCCGTAACCAAAATGGCTTCATCAACATCCTTCACATGCAGTACAAAGAGCTCTAACTATGATACCTGCGTGCTGAAAACTAAATTAAAGCAACTTGAAAACATGTGTTTGCCAGTCTTCATGGAAGTAAATGAAATCATGAGCACTGAAAATGTTGAACTTTTGAGATGCAAAACCTTTCAAGAAAGTAAAGAAGCATTTTTGGTTTTCCAATCAATGTCTCATTCATGTATGGAGTCTTGTACTCAGGTTGAAGTAGGAATTATAACCACTCCAGTTAGCATGGTTTATACTTATCTGAAAGGAAAGCGTTTCAATGTTGAAAATACTGCTTACTATTTCACAATCCCTCAAGAAATACGCTTGTCTGAATTTCAGGAAAGTTATTCCTTTATTTCTTTAATAGGAAATGTTGGTGGTTGGATGGGACTGTTCATAGGGTTTTCAATTCTGGGCTTCTCAGAGTTGATATTGGAGACTTTCAACACCCAGAAAAAAGCTAAAGCAATTGTATTAAGAGGATTATTAATGTTAGGAAGTGCTATAACAGTAGTAATTTCAGTTTCTTCATGTCTAAAACTGGCTGAAAGGAGAACTGGTTCAGATATCAATATTGATACAGACTTAAATAATATGAGTGTATCAATGTGTTCTCTGGAGAGCATTTATTCCTTCACATATATAGATGGAAATGCACAATATGCATATGAATATATTGGAGAAGATAAGAATTTCTGGAACAACAACACAAAACTTAATCAAAAGATCAGAAAATTGGAGGTTTGGTTTAAAAATGGAGAAAAACAGGTTCTCTTCGATGCTAGTAATAATTTGACAACAGATATTATTGATAAATCCATAACTATTCCAACAGGAGGGAGTTACCTTGAAACCTGTCATACATTTAAATTGAATTTCAGGAATGCGGTTGACAAAGTAAAAATTACTGCTAGAAAAGAATTGACCTGCTATGTGCATTTGTCTGGACAGATTTTGCATCAAGATTCTCGACAAGGATTCAGTATTACAGATTCGTTAATCACTTATCTGGATAAATATGTTGTTGATTTTTATTCTTCATCCACTTCATTTAAGATGAATATATTAAACTTGACTGGAGTTATTGATAATCCATACAATGAACAATTTTCTTATGATGATTGTATTTTGGCATGGATAAGCCAACAAGCAAATGTAAGCAAAAGTTTCCTGAATCCAAAAGAAGAAACAAACTTCACCAGTGGACTGGATAAGGATGCTTTTGAAAGGATAAAACATGTTTTAGGTTCAGATGAAGTTTCTAATGCATGTAAATGTCCAATAAACCAGATACATGTTAAATATGGCATAGAGAAACTAGAAGATAAATGGACATATCTATGGAGAACTATAAATTATAAGGATATAACACTTGATTTTTTTCTTGAGCTCCCAGACTTTGTAGTCCTGAATAAGGTAATACATATTTTTTTTAGCAATCTGACCATTCATGTTATAGTGAAAGAATTAAAAACCATGATAGTACACTAAATGGCCATCTTGAAATCCAAAAGACTTAATAAAATTCAGTAATTAAATTCAGATGGCTTGGTTACATTAAAGTCATATATGCATTTTATAAAGGTATATTTCTCATATAACATTGTGGCCTTAATATCTGAAGTTGGTGGTTGGATTGGAATTCTATTGGGTTACAGGTAACATTATAATGTAGATAAAACTTTAGTCTGCTTATCAAATTTGAATTAATTCTTTGTTTAGCTTACTGAACTTTGGAAACTATGTTGAATGTTTTGTATATGGTTTTAACAGAAAACTCTCTAGATTAATATTTTTCTTGATTTTAATGGGTCTGGTCATGGTCATGGCACTTCAAGTCTATGTATCCTTACTCAAAGTGGATTCTAAACCCACAGGAACCTCAGTTGAATTCAAAGACTTAAACTCAGTCATCAGCATGGCTTTGACAGCTTGTAAGATAGATCATGATATGCTTGATACAGATGATCATATACATCCACTGATTTATGTAGGTTCCAAGAATAGGGTTAAATTCATTGATGAATTTGTCAGTGAGGCTGGCAACTCTACAATCAGTTCATTCTACTGGCTTGATAATGAATTGATACACATTTGCAAAACTATTATTTTACATGAATCAGAGGAGATCAAGATTATTCATTCCTATGGAATGGGCCGGGGAACAGATCCTAAAAATATGAAGCTGTATATTCATGAAACTGGATTATTTGGGTCTGGATATGAGGTCAAATTCCAGACGGAATGGTATGAAGGAAACACAGTTGTTCTTTTAGACCTAGAACAGATTATAAATATACCTGATCCAAGTGTGTGCAATCAAGTATATCTGTTTGACAAATGCAAGCAGAGATATATTTCAGAAGAGTTTAAAGCAGGGGAAGGTTGCTCTCTAAAGCTACCAAGGTATGTTAACATAAATGCATGAACATTGAACATAGAGATGATTATGTTTAATATTTAACTTCTGGGTATCTTTTTGTTTGCTTGGGTTAGCATATTTTCCATTTAGTATTGAAAACAGGGAGATAGTTTTTCATTTGTAATATTTCAGCAATTCACACTGTATTATAATGGTACTAAAATGGGACAAAGTATATCATTAATGCCTTATAGAGAAATAAAAAATAATATTTAATCAGAGGGCAATCTTAATTAATAACTGCAATCAACTAAAACTTCAATATATTTTTCTGAAATGCTGTTTATTTATGATTTCATATGAACTCTCATTCAGGCCACTGTTCACCAGATTAACCGTCAGGTTGAACTTCTCCCCACTCTGGATTTTTTTGTCTAACTATCATCTAACATGCTAGTAGAAATAATTCTAGGTATTAAACAAATCCGAATCAAGTTTTAAAAGAGTAAAAATTGGTTAAAAAGTATAATTTAAAATTATCAATTCTTTCATCAAAAACAATGGAAAAAAGAAAAAACTCCGCAAAAAATGTGTGTGAAAATCCGCGAAATTCGCTTTTTGTACTGTCATTCTGTAATCATGAATAAGAATTTTAACAAGTCTACTTGCGCTGTTTGCTTTGAAGTTAAGGGAGAACACTCCAAAACTCTTAATAAGATAACAAAAGGAATAGAGGAGAAGATAGTAACTTTTATTTGGCCTGCCTACAACCTGGGGATTGGTGTTTGTCCATCAGTTATATGTTCAAACTGTCGAAGAAATCTGTTCTGTTTGGAGAAGGGCTCAACCGAATACTTATCAAAATGGATAGAAAAAGTATCAAAGGTATCTATTATCATAAATTTAGTATTAAATATACAGTCTAGATCATAGTTAGGTTAAGAATATGAAACTTTGAGACAAATATTTATCAAAAAGATGATTTTTTTTTTATTTTTGTATGGTCATGTAGATTGAAAGAGGAAGTATCAGGAGAACTTCAAAGCTTGATTTGATTGCTAATGTACCTGAATCTGAAGAAAAAGACTGCTTTAATCATAGAAGACTCTGCAATTTATGTTTAACCCACTTAGGAAAGACTTATTTGAAAGACTTATTTGTGCAGACCTACAAAACACAAAAAAGATTGTTTCTTGTTTTGCACACATAAAGGTGAATCAAAAACTTTTTGATTATTAAAGAAATTGTTAATGTTTTTTCGAGTGGACCTTCATTTAAAGAGTGGCATGTGTCCGATTCACAACAGTACTCTTAAAAATTTTGTCCAATCAAGAATGTATATCCAAATTTTTTTTTTTTAAATTAACTTTTTTCTATTTGGGGTTCTCTATAAAAGTGACTTGTTCATTTCACTCACAAAATTAATGGTGTTTAATGTTTAGAATTAAGCACTTTTCAAGCTAGAGAAGCGACAATATCTTCAAAATCAAACATTATTGATCAGAAAAAGGGTCAAAGTGTACCTTTGTGAATCAAAAATTCTCCTTTTATTATTTTTTTTAATGAAGGGTCAGACTAAATTACAGTTACAGCCAGCCCCTTTTAGGAATTGCTCGTTTGTTTTAAACTTTTTGACTTTTTTGAAATATGCGTTTTGTTTAAATGGAATATTTACCACCAATAGTATGATAATAAGTTATTTTACCAGGAAAGGGGTTAGAACACAACTGTGTAAAGAGTCAAGCTGTTTCAAACATTATCGGATTAGCGTTATCTTTGGAGCATCCATCCCCTGAGCAAGTAGCTGCTGGGATCATCAAGATAAAGATGGAAAGAGAGAGCATTGAGAAAGGGGAGCAGTTTAAACTCTCTACTGGAGGGAATCCTCTTTTCATAACTGCTGGAGTATCTGATATTAAAACCAAACGTGCGACACTCAAACAGATATCCTTTCAAACAATCATGGAACTATCTAATGTATTGGAACTATCCAAGAATAAAACAAAGAAGCTCTGCACAGCTTTAAGGAGAAATCTTGGATCCACAACTACAGTTGAATCCAACATCTTTGAGAAAATGGATTCAATTCAAGATAAACTAGGAGAATTCTATGAAACTAAAACTGAGAACTTTTTACACAATGATGAAATTACCAGTAGAAGCCTTGTGTATGTTAAAGATACATCTGATTTTCTAAGATCCATCATTGAGGAAAGGGGACTTGATATACATAATTCTATTGTTAGAATTTCTGTAGATGGAGGACAAGATTTCCTAAAAGTAATTGTAAATGTGTTCGACCCTGCTGAGAAACATTCAACTAGTGCCCTGTTTGATGATTCTGGAGTGAAAAGATGTTTTGTGCTTGCCATAGTAGAAGATGTTTCAGAAGATAATGGAAACCTTCAAAAAGTATTGTCCCCACTGAACCTTGATGATGTTTCATACCATATTGCTCTTGATTTAAAGTGTGCTAATAGTGTGTTGGGTTTATCCAGTCATGCTGGTAAGTTCAGCTGTTTATATTGTGAAGGAGAATGTACACTGGATCCTGGAATACCAAGAACCTTTGGTTCTATTGATGATCACTATCAACGGTATGTAGAAGATGGTAAGAAAAGATCAAGGATGAAAGAGTACAAGAATGTGATCAACCCCAGACTTATTTATTTAGATGAGTCTCCAGATGTGCTTTTACATCATAGAATACCTCCACCTGAACTACATATTCTGATGGGTGTGCTAACTAAACTTGCTCTTCTTCTTCTCACCCTATGGCCTCAATTTGAGTCATGGATGAAGAGTAATTATGTGATGCTGCGAGGTTATCAGGGAGTTGGTTTTGATGGAAATAATGCAAACAGACTTTTATCTCTTCTTTCAATTCTAGATAGAGATTTGAGAGCTGATGGTAGGTTGGACCTTCTTCCAATAATAGATTGTTTGACCAAATTTGCAGCAGTCAAAGAAAATGTGTTCGGGATAGAGTTAGGATTAAACATTCCCAGAATCTTAAATGAATTTAAAAACTCATTTAGTTATCTACAAAAATATGTTCAAGATATTTTTGAACTAAATCTAACTGTTTCCTGGAAAGTCCATATAGCAGTTTGCCATATCCTACCCTACATAGAAAAAAATAAAACTGGACTTGGCAACTTTGCTGAACAGACGGGTGAAGCTATCCATCACCAGTTCAAAAAAACCTGGATCAATTATAAGCGCTCTGTCAACCATTCGGAACATGGAAGAAGATTACAAAATGCAGTCGTCCAGTTTGGGATACACAATATGTGATTTCATCAATATATTATACTTGTTAAAATGATATTTTTGAAACATTTTAATTTTATCTGTAATCTATTATACTTGTAAAAATGATCTTCTTAAAAAAATTTGAATATATTCTTAACAATATGTCCATTTTGACACTTAACTGATCAAAAAGAAGGGGAAAATTGAAGGATTTTAAAGAAGAAAAAAAATGTGCCAAAAACTTGTGTTAAAACTTGATTCGGATTTGTTTGATACCTAGAATTATTTCTACTAGCATGTTAGATGATAGTTAGACAAAAAAATCCAGAGTGGGGAGAAGTTCAACCTGACGGTTAATCTGGTGAACAGTGAGGCATTAATGGACTTTAGACATACTTAGTAGGAAAAAGAAGTTATACTAGCTATACATAATGTAATTGCTTCTTTTTGCTACTGCTATCTTATAAAACAGCCATTTTGTTTCAAGTTTCTCTGGGCAGCACAAGTTAAATAGTTGAACTAACTACAAGGTGTCCCACAAAACATGACTTAAAAGTTGTCTTTGATCTTGGAATTTATTAATGACTTTTAGTCATCAACCTTCTTTAACATGTTTGATTCTTAAAACAATGACAACAAAATTCTCCTAGTCCTCTTATTTCCAAAATGTGGTCTGCCTTTTTTTGTGCCGTCAATATTACTAGATATATTATGAATATCATTCAGATTTAAATTTTTCCTGAATAAAACAAAATTTGTCAAAATCTGTACAAAATTCTTCCTATCTCAGGTAATATTGAAAACACATAAAAAGCATACCACATTTTGGAAATGAACTAAGAGAACTTTGCAATTATTAGTAGTTAGGTTGACAAATAACCTCAAGTTGTCTTGCTTGTATCATTTTTAAAGTACACCCTGTATGTCTTGCACTTGAAAATAATAACCTCTGTGTGTACTAGAAGTGCTGTTGACCAAGAAATAAAGATCTGTGATGCCAGTGACAACAATGTGACAAATGGTTTTAAAACTGTATCCAAGCAGTTTAAGAGGAACACCAACTCATGTCTCCTTCCTTGCAGTCTGAGCTTGATTGGCTTTAAATTATTTTCATATGAAGATGCAGTAAGTAACATTTAATTTAAAATTCTAACAAGTGAACACAGTGGGCACCAGGTAATATATACCAGCAAATATACTTGGAAGTACAACAGATTTCCAAAATTTATCACCAGTATTGAATATTTTTTCTTGATACTAAAAGTTGAAATGTCACCAGTGTAAAGGTAGCCATCATGAAATGTGCAGGTATATTTGTTGGCTTTTATTATTTTGTTGTATGAAAAAAGTGCTTATGATTTTGATAAAAAATTTAGATGTTTATCCCAATCTGTATTTATTCAGGAGGAATTTGCCAAAACTCTAAACTTAACTGTGTTGATGCCTAAAGTCATAAAAGTGACCCAAGCTGAGTACATCTACACTATCTGGGATTTCATAACGGAGTTTGGTGGATGGTTTGGGACATTGTTTGGTTACTGTGTAGTGGACCTGGCAGATGCTTTGGTAGCGATTATGATAAGCTTAAACAAGTTACTCTGTTGGAATGTAATTTAAAGATATCTTATATGATGTATTTAACCTAAAGTTTATATTCTGAATGTAAGAATAAAATAAAAAATGCTTAAGCAAAACATATTTTGTAAAGCACCATAAGTACTAGATCAGAAGCTTGTCAGATCTTTTGTCCCTGCTGATGCCGACCAACTTGGAATTAGTTTGACAGCTATTTTTCTTACTTTTCCTGTCCCAAGTTATTTTTTTCCCACAAAAAAAACCATTTTCAACCCTACAATTTTATTTGTTTTTGATGCTAATTTCATTTTCAATGATCTGTCTAATCCCAAAACTTTTTTTTCCAAAACCATGATTAATCTTACTAATCCCAATTGCTCTTTATTTACATTCTGGTTGTAGATTTCATTTCATTGCATTGTGGTTGTTTTTTGTGCTTTATTTTACCTAACAAATTTCAATCTCCATTTCAAAGATTTAATTGTAATCCCAAAATGTTTGATTTTCCCATCAGAAAATATTCATTTTCTGTCTCAAAAGTTTCATTTCTAATCAAAAACCATAAAACAAATTTAGACTTTCATCAACACTTTCTTACTGATTTTATTTTCTGATTAGAAAATCAAATTTTCCATTGCATAATTAAAAAATACTTTAACTTGCAAATTCTTGCACTCATATTCATTGTTCATTTATTTTATTTTCAGCCCCAAAGGTATTCATTTTCCGTCTCAATAATGTCAATTTCCATCTCTAAATTTCAATGTTTTTCCCCTCAACTTTTGTTATTTATCGCACAACTTTCATTTCAGCCCCAGCTATTTTTAAGCAATCCTAATTAGGAAAGTATCAGTATTAATTAATCACTATTCATCTAAAATGGATTCATCACTTGGCCTATCTTAAACCCGACAAAAGTCCTCTTAGTCTTAGCAAATTGTCCTTCTAAACCTAACCTTGCCTAATACTATATAGCATATATATATATAGCTACTATACTATAATAGTGTAATATTTAGAATATGGTTGCGCTCCCTCCATTGTTAAAACCCTTTTTTTCCTTCTCCAACTTGGAGCAACCAATAAGAGTTGGAGAATTAATCAGTACACTCCAGGTTCACAAATAGAAAAAATGTTTAAGCTTATTTCTGCTGTTTCTAATCAGGGCCTGGGACTTGTACTTCATTGACAGCTAACAGACAGTCAATAGACAGCTAACCGGTAGTTTATCAACTTACTCAACAGAGGTTGAACAGCCTCATTTTCATCATACACTCTAGATACTCGGACCCAGAGTATCAGTGACTCTTCCAAGCTACAGCTAGTTCAACTACTCTAGATACTTGCAACCAGAGTATTGGAGACTCTTCCAATCTACAGCACACTTTAAACTGTACACTGTCAATTTACACTATACACTGAACACGGTATGCCGCACACTTGAAACTGTACACTGTACACTGCCCACAGTTCACTAAACATTGCACACTGCAAACTGGACACTGAATGCTCCACACTCCACACTGTACATTGCACAGTCACTATACACTGAATGCTGCAGACTTCACACTTTAATCTGTACATTGTACACTACACACTGCACACTGCACACTGCACACTGCACACTGCACACTGCACACTGCACACTGCATAAATTTTCGATCCAACAGATTTATAGTTTGAAATATCTAAGGTCTACGATATTGGGTTGTTAAGATATAGGGACTAAAAAATCAGAGTTTGTGGTAAAGACTCAATTCCTTTAAAGAATAAATTTGTTAAAACTTCTAAAATGATGACCTGAGACTTCCCAGACTGTAGAATATCATTAAAGTTTATCATTTTCCAGTTTGTAATAAACAGAATATAACCAGGGTTAAAGCAGGGAACTCAAGCAACTGTTTTCTTATGTTAGATCAAATAATCTAAGTTTTGCAGGTTTGCACCATAGGTTGCAAAGATATAAGGTTTTATTTGTTGAGTTTGTGACTAAGACTGAATTCCTTTAATTTTAGTTTTCACACATATAAATTCTACAAACAACCTTGTTTTGTTTCAATGTAAGTAAAGAATTTGTGTTAGTCTTTAACGATAGTTTACTTGTGAATCTCTAATTGGATTATTTACAAGAATTGAATAGATAGATTGATATATAGATATAGAAAGATAGAAAGATAGATCCTACTGCTGCCGTAGAGATCTCTATTGGTTCTGAACCAAAATAATATAGTCATAATATATAACATAATTTTTATACAGTTTTTATCATTTTGTTAAGATATAGGTAAAATTTCACAAAAAAAGTTTAAAACTATATTAAAATAATGACCATGACCAGAAAAGGTTGCATCTGAAAAATGTTGATTTCTAAAAAGTTTCAATTAAAATTTCACAAATTTTTTCATTCTGTTAATTTTAATGCAAACTCCCATTTGTTGCTTTGTATATACGATGATAATTTTTAGTTATATAATATTAACATGGCCAATAACACAATAACAAATAGTTACCCCAAGGATTATAACACAAAAGAAGGTCAGCCGATACACAGAGTGTTCATCCAAAATTGAGCTCTATATCAAGATCTTTGATCCTTGAAATCATTTTATCCTTTTATTCGCCGACCTTATTTTAGAAGTAAACTCCCAACTAGAGCAAGAAAATATTAATAATAATCTTTACAAGAATGAATAAAAAAAATTCTTAGTGCATAGCAGCAATATAAGAAAAAGCAGGGAAAAAGGATGTAAACAGCAGAACACCCCAAATTACATACTTTTTTCTGCACTAAACTGGATTGCAGACATTTAATTTACAAAAACCGGATAAGAGACATTTTTTTCTGAAAAAACTGGATTACGGACATTTTTTCTGTAAAAACCTGATTACGGACATTTTTTCTGCAAAAATTGGATTACGAACAGGAGAATTTTTAGAAAACCAATCAATTACTCATCTTCACTATGCATTTTTGGTCTTGTACAATTATAAAATTATAAATTTTAAATAATGATATATAATATATCTGAGAGATAATTTAGGAACTAATAAAGCATTACTTGAAACTGTCATGTTGTTATTGTTATTATTATTAGATGACAAAGTACTAAGATACAGTCTAGTTCTATGAATGCACAGGGTGCTTCGTTAAAGATGACAGTTGAACAAATTTTAACGAAGGATAAGATAACAAATATTAGATATGTTAACAACTTAATGACGTAAATTAAGAAAACTTTAACAAAAATAGTCTTTATTTTATATTGGGTCACATAAAATCATGAATGTTTTATAAAGAATGTTGGAAAAAAGAATATAAATGAATTATAAAGAATGGGTACATAATAAGCAGAGGTGTATTCAGGGGGGGGGGCTATTGGGGCTAAGCTCCCCTNAAGTAATATACAATTTAAAGGATTTTCGGGCCCCCCCCTGGACAAATTCCTGAATACGCTCCTGGACTAATAAGTCCCATTATTTATTTGAATTGGTGAAGTTGTAATTTGAATCAATATTTTCCAAGGTGTGTGCTTTATGTCACTGGAAAAAGCCATGAAAAGAAAAAATTGTTTAATTTATTCAATGTTTATTTAGGTTAAACAAAATTCAATAATTTAGTAAGGGCGTTTATACTTCATTTCCCGCACAATTAGTTTACTAAAGACCTTCTTTAGGTAAGGAATTCAAAGTTTAAATTTTAACTTTCTCTTATAGAAGCAAATTTGCAGCTTGAATTGTGCGTGCAGTGCAGATAAAGTAAAGTTTTTGCGCTGAATTAGCATTCTGCGAGAAAATTTAAACAATTTGGATGAACTTTGTAAGAGTTGCCAAAAAAATGCCAAACATTCCATTGTAAAAACTAAATTTATACATACACAAATTGATCTTTTGTTAAAATGGTCTATTGGCATAATGTTTTTGGGCCATTTGCACAAATTTTCAGGCTGCAATTGACATAAAAAGTGAAATTCTTATGCAAGTGCAAAAACTATGCAATTTCTAACAAACAAAGATGTGCTATAAAATTATATACATTTTACGCAAAGATTTTTCACACAACTAATGTCTTTATCTGTGATAACGCGTTCTGGAGATTGACAGGGAGCCTGCACTTGGATCCCTTTAATAAATTTTGAAGGGGAGATAAAAAAAAAAAACAATTCTTCCAGGGGCGTAAATAATTGGTTTTAATTGGGTTTGATTTGCATTTTCCACTCATTTCTGGAATTTACCAAATCTATCAAATTAAGGCTTCATTTCATACCTTTCAGCTTTCACCTTGTTTTATATCCTTCATTATAGTCATTCATTTTACATTAACTTCAAAGATCTGTTAAAAAAGCTTAATTTATTTTAAGTAAGATAAAAAAATAATAGTTTTACTTTTTTAAATCTTTATAAAAGCTACTCTGCAAAACTTTGAAAAATATTGTCTTTGTTTATATTCTTATTTCTAATTTCTAAAATTTTCTTGTTGTCAATGTAGTTTATTAAGATCTTAAATAAATATAATATGGAAATGACAATATTTAAAAGTAAAAATGTATTTTTCATTGCCCATACCCTTTTTTTCTATAAAAAAAAACATCTTATTGTAATCACATTGACTATTACTTTAGAATTTAGAATCATTTAGAATATGTTGACTTAAAATCTGAAATATCTGAAGTATCTGCACATTTAAATCATTTTCTTGGTAAACTTCTATTTCCTACTGAGTATTGGTAAACGTAGTGATGCGTTCGATTACATCAAGAGTGAATTGGAAACTAAACTAAAAGATATAAATGCACTTCTTATCCGGGATGAATGTCTGGATCTACAAACATTATTTCATTCCTTCTATTCGATTTCTGCTCACTGTTCATACAATATCATAAAGTCATCTGAAGAAACTAGATACATTCACTGATAAATTTGTGAAAAAATGGACTGGATTACCACCCTGTGGAACAAATGCTGCTCTACACTTGAAACCTGGCCTAGACATCACCTTAATATCCATCCTGTACAAAACAACTATGACGCAAGCATACACTAGATTAAGAATACTGGGTGATGAAACAGTTAACTCTGCCTTACAATCTAAATTAGACAGGGAAAAAAATTGGCTCCGCAAAATTAACTTCACAGACTATGCAGAAAAAATGTTCCAACAAGCCACATTAGAGAGCTATGGTCAAGCAGAAATGCCTGAGTGGGATGACCAAGCTTCCAAACATCAATGCTATAAAACGTGAAAAAGTATCTTTTGCAAACGAAACTTTCTGGAGAGAACACTCATAAAACAAGGACATTTTCTCTGCCTGGCAATGCTTGAAAAATCCAGGCCAGGATTTGACTAGGGGGGGGGGGTGCAATATGACGCGTTGCAGGTGAAACATTTTTTGGGTTTTTTTTTAATGATTTTTAAAAAAAATGTTTGTTTTGGTTTTACAGTGATATATGGTTGTTTTTATTACATTGTCAATGCACACTATTAAGGCTAACCTTTTTAACAAGTGTATTTGAGCTTTTAAGGGAGTACTGCTTAACTAACAGAGTCAAGTAATCATTTATTACTTTGACTTTGCAATGATATGATCTTATTTCTTATTCATTTAAAAAAAAGCTTTTCAAGGGTCAAGGGGGCGCCTCACCACGGAAATGCCTCAAAAAACAGACTCATAAAACATAGCACACCGGACAAGGGGGGGGGGTCAAAAGTATGAAAGTGTACAGAAGATTACCATTTCATTTCCATGGGACTCTATGCATATAATTAATAAATCATACTGTTTTAATTAGACTTAAACAACTATTAAATGACTATGAGTAAATTTTGATGTTGTGTTATATTTAATCAACAGAGTGTACTGATCAACTGTTAGTTAGCCTGCGATAGGTCACAGGAGAGACATGACTCAGGGGATGAGTAGTGAGAGTACACAAAAACTCCGTCACACTTTTAAATGACTTGATAGAGCAAATGGAACTAGAGCAAATGACCATAGAGCAAATGGAAATAGAGCAGATGTCGTAGCACCGAAATAAACGATAAAAGTCTGTGAATATCAAATTGAACTGGGTTTTATCTTAAGATTATAAAGAATTAGTTGTTAATTTTCTGGGAAATTTTAGAAACCGTTAATTTTTTCCCTTACTACTACTGACCACTGAATACTGACCACTGACTACTGACTACCTTCACATAATGGTTTCATATGACCAGAATATTTCATTGATTTTTTAATGTGAAAGATGGATCCTATGTCAGACTTCGACATACATCTTGTGTTTACATTACCGCCTAGAGACAGTACACTCCAGTACAAAAGATGCGTACACCTCTGAAATAACTTTCCTTGCATTACAACCTTGCAAACACTTTTTTGGTACAGATACACATACATGACGTGTCGGCCCCCTGATCTCTGTACATTTATATCTGGTAAGTTGAAAAATGTTTATATAAAACCTTATTATTTATATAAAACCTTATTATTTAATTTGTTGAAAAATGTTGAAAAATGTTTATATAAAACCTTATTATTTATATAAAACCTTATTTTATTCATTTATTTCTTTGATAGGAAATGTTGGTGGTTGGATGGGACTGTTCATAGGGTTTTCAATTCTGGGCTTCTCAAAGTTGATATTGGAGACTTTCAACACCCAGAAAAAAGCTAAAGCAATTGTATTAAGAGGATTATTAATGTTAGGAAGTGCTATAACAGTAGTAATTTCAGTTTCTTCATGTCTAAAACTGGCTGAAAGAGGAACTGGTTCAGATATCAATATTGATACAGACTTAAAGAGTATGAGTGTATCAATGTGTTCTCTGGAGAGCATTTATTCTTTAATAGGCCCAGATGGAAGTGGACAATATACACATGAATATATTGGAGAAGATAAGAATTTCTGGAACAACAACACAAAACTTAATCAAAAGATCAGAAAATTGGAGGTTTGGTTTAAAAATGGAGAAAAACAGGTTCTCTTCGATGCTAGTAATAATTTGACAACAGATATTATTGGCAAATCCATAACTATTCCAACAGGAGGGAGTTACCTTGAAACCTGCCATACATTTAAATCAAATTTCAGGAATGCGGTTGACAAAGTAAAAATTACAGCTAGAAAAGAATTGACCTGCTATGTGCATTTGTCTGGTCAGATTTTGCATCAAGATTCTCGACAAGGATTCAGTATTACAGATTCGTTAATCACTTATCTGGATAAATATGTGGTTAATTTTTATTCTTCATCCACTTCATTAAAGATGAATATATTAAACTTGACTGGAGTTATTGACAATCCATACAATGAACAATTTTCTTATGATGATTGTATTTTGGCATGGATAAGCCAACAAGCAAATGTAAGCAAAAGTTTCCTGAATCCAAAAGAAGAAACAAACTTCACCAGTGGACTGGATAAGAATGCTTTTGAAAGGATAGAACAAGTTTTAGGTTCAGATGAAGTTTCTCATGCATGTAAATATCCCATAAATGAGCTCCATATCAAGTATGGCATAGAAAAATTAGCAGAAAAGTCGGTATACACAGTGAACACTTTTGATTACAAGAATATTTCACTTGAGTTTTATCTCAAATTCCCTGACTTTGCTGTCCTTAATAAGGTATATTCAGGAAAAACTTAAAGACTTGACCATTATACACACATTTAATTCACAAGTTCTCAATATTTCAAAAACAAATTAGAACTATATTATTTACATGTCATTGTGTATACGATATGAAAAAATTAAAAATTACAATATCTAAAAGAAAACATGGAATTTAAATAGCTAGAATAGACAATTGTAAATATGAATGATGTGATAATGTATGATGGTTTATATAAGAATGGTCTTTGCATATTTTTGAAAAAAATATGAAGTTAAATTAAAAGTTATAAAAAATATTCTCTATATGCTATAGGATATAGGCTAAAGAAGTTTTGAAGTTACACTAAAGGCACTTAAGCTAAGATCATGATTTAAAACCAAGTATGTTTAAATAAGGGAGTTAATATAACCATAAATAATATAAACCTGGTCAAGCTGGATAATCCAGTTAGTTTTGAATATTCATTTTGAATAATGCATAACTCTTCACTCTCTGACATCAACATTTTTTTAAAGGTATATTTCTCATATAACCTTGTGGCCTTAATATCTGAAGTTGGTGGTTGGATTGGAATTCTATTGGGTTACAGGTATGATTATAATATTGTTTAAACTTTAGTCTGCTTATCAAATTTGAATTAATTCATTGTTTAGCTTACTGAACTTTGGAAACTACGTTGAATGTTTTGTATATGGTTTTAACAGAAGACTCTCTAGATTATTATTTTTCTTGATTTTATTGGGTCTGGTCATGGTCATGGCACTTCAAGTCTATGTGTCCTTGCTTAAAGTGGATTCTAAACCCACAGGAACCTCAGTTGAATTCAAAGAATTAAACTCAGTCATCAACATGTCTTTGACAGCTTGTAAGATAGATTATGATATGCATGATATTGATGATCATATTCAGCCACTGATTTATGTGGGTTCCAAGAATAGGGATGAATTCATTGATGAATTTGTCAGTGAGGCTGGCAACTCTACAATCAGTTCATTCTACTGGTTTGATAATGAATTGATACACATTTGCAAAACTATTGATTTAAATGAATCAGAGGAGATCAAGATTATTCATTCCTATGGAATGGGCCGGGGAACAGATCCTAAAAATATGAAGCTGTATATTCATGAAACTGGATTATTTGGGTCAGGATATGAGATTAAGTTCCAGACGGAATGGTATGAAGGAAACATAGTTGTTCTTTTAGACCTAGAGCAGATTATAAATATACCTGATCCAAGTGTGTGCAATCAAGGATATCTGTTTGACCAATGCAAGCAGAGATTTATCTCAGAAGAGTTTAAAACAGGCACAAGTTGCTCTCTAAAGCTACCAAGGTATGGTAACATGAATGCATGAACAATGTACAAAGAAGATTATGTTTAACACCTTCTGGGTATCTTTTGATTTGCTTGGGTTAGCATATTTTCCATTACTAAACAGGGAGATAGTTTTCATCTGTAATATTTCAGCAATTCAGACTGTACAAAAACAGTACTAAAATGTGACAAGGAAGAAATTTTTCAGGATTGACAGAAAAATATCTCATTTATGCCTTCTAGAGAAATAGAGAATGCTATTTAAGCAGAGGGCAATCTTAACTGTTAACTGCATTCAACAAAAACTTCAAAATCTTTATTTCAAATGCTGATAATTTATGATTTCATATGAATCTCAATAATGCATAAATGGACTTTAGACATACTTAGTAGGAAAAAGGAGTTGAACTAGCTATACATAATGTAATTGCTTCTTTTTGCTATAATTGCTATCTTATAAAACAGCCATTTTGCTTCAAGTTTCTCTGGGCAGCACAAGTTAAATAGTTGAACCAACTGCAGGGTGTCCTACAAAACATGACTTGAAAGTTGTCTTTGATCTTGGAATTTATTATTCTTTAAACTGTTTTCATATGAAGATGCAGTAAGTAACATTTAATTTAAAATTCTAACAAGTGAACAAAGTGGGCACCAGGTAATATATACCAGCAAATATACTTGGAAGTACAACGGGTTAACTAAACTTTATCACCATTATTGAATATTTTGTCTTGATACTAAAAGTTGAACTGTTACCAGTGTTCCAGAATTTAACCTGTATGATTAAAATAAAGGTGACTATCACAAAATGGGCAGGTTTATTTGTTGGCTTTTATTAGTTTGTTGTATGAAAAAAGTGCTTTGAATTTTGATAAAAAAGGAATTAGACGTTGTCTAATAGATATTTTCTAAATCTGTATTTTTTTCAGCAAGAGAAGGAGGACAAATCCAAAACTCTAAACCTAACTGTGTTGTTGCCTAAAGTCATAAAAGTGACCCAAGCTGAGTACATCTACACTATCTGGGATTTTATAACCGAGTTTGGTGGATGGTTTGGGACATTGTTTGGTTACTGTGTAGTGGACCTTGCAGATGCTTTGGTAGCTATTATGGCAAGCTTAAAAAAGTTACTCTGTCGGAATGTAATATAAAGATATCTTATATGATGTATTTAAACTGAAGTTAACGTTCTGCATGTAAGAAAAAAATAAAAAATGCTTAAGCAAAACATATTTCTTAAAGCACCAAAAGTACTAGATCAGAAGCTTATCAGACCTTTTGCCCCTGCTGATGCCCCTTAACTTGGAGTTAGGTTGGCAGCTATTTTTCTTACTTTTCCTATCCCAAGTTATATTTATTCCACAAAAAAATTCATTTTCATCCCTACAATTTTATTTGTTTTAATGTTAATTTCATTTTTGATGATCTGTCTAATCCCAAAACTTTTTTTCTTTTCCAAAACCATGATCAAAATTACTAATCCCAATTGCTCTTTATTTACATTCTGGTTGGAGATTTCATTTCATTGCATTGTGGTTGTTAGCTTTATTTTACCTTCCACAAATTTCAATCTCCATCTCAAAAATTTTAGTTGAAATCCCAAAATGTTTAATTTTCCCATCAGAAAATATTCATTTTCTGTCTCAAAATTACAATGTTTTTTCTCTTAGCTTTTGTTATATGTCCCCCAACTTTAATTTCAGCCCCAGCTATCTTAATGCAATCCTTATAAGGTAAGGATCAGTATCAAAATTCATTACTTTTCCTTACAAATTAGACCAGAGTCGAAAACTAAAGAATGCGCGAAATTTAAGTTCGAGGTTAAAAGTTCTGTCAAATAATGAGTAGCTACTTATATATTAAACTTTCTCAATTTTAAGCTTGAATTTCCTGGGAAAAATCTGAACCAATCAGAGAAAAGGGTTTACGGAAATTAATTATGTAACTATCCGTAATCAGCTGTTTTTTCAATTTTAAATTATTTACGTGACGGAAAACAAAACAAATTTCCAGTTACAACTGTATTTTGGGTTTACGTGCAAACATAAATTAATCTAAAACGTGAAATTTATTAAATCAAGGTTTTTACTTTTAAATATATCGTAATTAGTTGAATGCGGTTTACTCAGCTGAATGATGATAGACAAATAGGGATTGCAGGATTTCAAGATTTTAACCCTGTGTTTAAAGTTTAACTTGACGATTTCGGCGAGTTAAATATTTAACCACAGGGTTAAATATTTAACCTCACTGTTAAAGTTCTGGTTTAAATTAAGTCAGAAGTGGCATTTAACCATGAACTTAAAATTTAAGTCAAAACTTTTGTTCTTTAGTTTTAGACTCTGAACTGAAAATTGTGAATTTTCTTATTACAATTTTGCTAATTTTCTGTCATTCTGTGATTCATTCTTTATAAAATCTTAGATTTCAATAGAAATAATTTTTTTTGGGCCATTTAAAATTAAGATTAAATTTTTTTTAAAGAAATTGAAAAAAACACCATACAGAAGGGTTGCACTAAAAAGGTACACTTTTGCACCAGGCGCCACAAATCACACTTTTTTTGACTTACCCTGTAAGTGGGAGGGTAAAAATAATTAAAACTGTAACTTAAGACTAATTGTGGGTACAGGGGGAGTAACTATGATTACCCTGGGCAACGCTGGGTTCCAAAGCTAGTACACTTGAACCCCGTTGGTTGGAGATGAGTAATTAATCTCTTAAAATTATTTCTAGTTATGAATTAGATTATTGAAAGGGTGTTATGCAAGTTTTCTTGTTAAAAATTACCCAAATGTAGATCAAGAAAACCAGAAATGTCAAAATATTTGCAGCTGCCATCATAAAATTATTTATAGAATTGTTTTTAGATTAAAAGGAATTGAGTCTTTGCCACAAACATTGATTGTGAAATCCCTTTATCTTTGCAACCTGATGATGTAAACATTTGATATTTCAAGCTTAAAATTTTCGATCCAACAGATTTATAGTTTGAAATATCTAAGGTCTACGATATTGGGTTGTTAAGATATAGGGACTAGAAAATCAGAGTTTGTGGTAAAGACTCAATTCCTTTAAAGATTAAATATGTTAAAACTTCTAAAATGATGACCTGAGACTTCCCAGACTGTAGAATATCATTAAAGTTTATCTTCTTCCAGTTTGTAATAAAAAGAATATAACCAGGGTTATAGCAGGGAACTCAAGCAACTGTTTTCTTTGTTAGATTAAATAATCTAAGTTTTTCCGGTTTGCACCATAGGTTGCAAAGATATAAGGTTTTATTTGTTGAGTTTGTGACTAAGACTGAATTCCTTTTATTTTAGTTTTCACACATATAAATTCTACAAACAACCTTGTTTTGGTTCAATGTAAGTAAAGAATTTGTGTTAGTCTTTAACAATAGTTTACTTGCGAATCTCTAATTGGATTATTTACAAGAATTGAATAGATAGATTGATATATAGATATAGAAAGATAGATCCTGCTGCTGCCGTAGAGATCTCTATTGGTTCTGAACCAAGATAATATAGTCATAATATATGACATAATTTTTATACAGTTTTTTTTTCATTTTGTAAAGATACAGGTATAATTTCACAAAAAAAGTTTAAAACTATATTAAAATAATGACCATGACCAGAAAAGGTTGCATCTGAAAAATGTTGATTTCTAAAAAGTTTCAATTAAAATTTCACAAATTTTTTTAATTGTGTTAATTTTAATGCAAACTCCCATTTGTTGCTTTGTATATACGATGATAATTTTTAGTTATATAATATTAACATGGCCAATAACACAATAACAAATAGTTACCCCAAGGATTATAACACAAAAGAAGGTCAGCCGATACACAGAGTGTTCATCCAAAATTGAGTAATGTTGATTTCTAAAAAGTTTCAATTAAAATTTCACAAATTTTTTCATTCTGTTAATTTTAATGCAAACTCCCATTTGTTGCTTTGTATATACGATGATAATTTTTAGTTATATAATATTAACATGGCCAATAACACAATAACAAATAGTTACCCCAAGGATTATAACACAAAAGAAGGTCAGCCGATACACAGAGTGTTCATCCAAAATTGAGACACTATATATCAAGATTATCTTTGATCTTTGAAATCATTTTATCCTTTTATATGCCGACCTTATTTTAGAAGTAAACCCCCGACTAGACCAAGAAATTATTAATAATAATCTTTACAAGAATGAATATAAAAAATTCTTAGTGCATAGCAGCAATATAAGAACAAGCAGGGAAAAGGGATATAAACAGCAGAACACCCCAAATTACGTACTTTTTTTCTGCACTAAACTGGATTGCGGACATTTTATTTACAAAAACCGGATGAGACATTTTTTCTGCAGAAACTGGGTTACGGACATTTTTTCTGCAAAAACCGGATTATGGACTTTTTTCTGCAAAAACCATGAGTATGAACATTTTTTCTGTAAAAACCTGATTACGGACATTTTTTCTGCAAAAATCGGATTAGGAACAGGAGAATTTATAGAAAACCACTCAATGACTCTTCTTTAACATGCATTTTTGGTCTTCTGTACAATTATAAAAATATAAATTTTAAATAATAATATATATAGTATATCTGAGAGATAATTTTTGAACTAATAAAGCATTACTTGAAACTGTCATTGTGGTATTCTGGAACCACTAATCTTATGCAATAAATTAGCAACTTAAATTAGCACTCTGATGAGATTCTACTTCAAGTTATCTTACTTGTTTTATCTATCATCTGTGCAACCTGGCAAAATTGCAGATCGGGTTATTCCTCCACTCAGGCCTAACCCTCATGCGCTGTTAATATCTTTGCAACCTGGCATTACTATACTTCAGTTACTCTCATAATACAGAGTAAACCTTATACAGTTGTATGCACGTGCAATTACTAACACCCAAAGTAATAAACTCGTTGTTACAACTTTATCACATTTATTTACATATTCATAAATGCATATATAACATCACATAAAGATATCTACTGGTATGATTATTAGCTTCGGTTCCTTTCTGATCTTAAGGTCTCTCAGCTTGAAGTTTAAGCACTTTCTCAGTTATGTTACTGAGCCTAGCGTGCATGACTGTAATAGCTTTCAGTCCGTCTATCAATCTAATATCTATATTATTGCAGGTATTCTGGTCAACCCGCTCCTGCATAATCTGTAGCAGATCCCACACCTGATTAGACAGCCTGTCCCTGACCTCCTCCATAGTCTGGTCGGGGTACAGTCTGTACTCTTGCTCCATAGCCTTCCCTGTGTCCCATGCATCAACGTTAGGGACAACAGTATGCTGTTGTGAGCTAGCGTCCCTAAGGGACAATATACTCCCTAGCTCCTGGTTCAATCCTTGTAAGCCTTGGATTACTTCTCTATCAATTTCCTCCAGCTCCACAAGAACATCCCGCATTGTCTTGGACAGATCCTCCTCGTCATGATCCTCATCTTCGTCCTCTACAACCTCCTCAGCTACGTCTTCATCCTCTGTGGCAGGAACAGTGACAATGGGAGTGTTCCCACTGATGAGAGGGGTGAGGTCAGCTGGATCAACTCCATCTTCATCCAGCTCCACTTCTCCAATGTAGGCGGGGTTCGGTATGATAACAGGAACCCGGTTCATCTTCTTCTACTGTGACTCGTCCAGAAAGGTTCTCTCTGTATGCTGTCTGTGCACTGTATATAGCACAGAACCCTGAGCGGTATTGTGCAGGAGACTTGTGTCTACTGCTACGGCTCGGGTTGTACTGACTCCTGATCTCCTGTTGTATTCAAGGGACTGTTCACTCTTATCAAGAACAATCCGAGATACAACATCATTTTGTTATTGTTATTATTATTAGATGACAAAGTACAAAGATACAGTCTAGTTCTATGAATGCACAGGGTGCTTCCTTAAAGATGACAGTTGAACAAATTTTAACAAAGGATAAGATAAAAAATATTAGATATGTTAACAACTTAATGACGTAAATTAGGAAAACTTAAACAAAAATAGTCTTTCTTATATGTTGGATCACATGAAATTATAAATGTTTTATAAATAATATAAATGAATTATAAAGAATAGGTACGTAATAAGTCCCATTATTTATTTGAATTGGTGAAGTTGTAAGTTGAATCAATATTTTCCAAGGTGTGTGCTTTTAATGTCACTAGAAAAAGACTTGAAAAGAAAAAATTGTTTATTTAATTCAATGTTTATTTAAGTGAAAGGAAAATTCAATAATTTAGTAAGGGCGTTCATTTTCCGAAGTCAAACAATAGTTTAAACTCAATGCACAATTAGTTTACTAAAGACCTTCTTTAGGTAAGGAATTCAAAGTGTAAATTTTAACTTTGGTCAATGGTGCCTATTATAGAAACAAATTTGTCAGCTTAAATTGTGCGTGCAGTGCAGATAAAGTAAATTGTTTGTGCAGAATTAGCATTCTGCGAGAAATTTAAACAATTTGGATGAACTTTGTGAGAATTGCAAAAAAAGGCCCAACATTCCATTGTATAGCCTAAAATTTTACATACACCAATTGATAGCATAATGTTTTTGGGCCATTTGCACAAACATTCCGGTTGCAATTGACATAAAAAGTGAAATTCTTATGCAAGTGCAAAAACTATGCAATTTCTAACAAACAAAGATGTGCTATAAAATTATATGCAATTAACACAAAGATTTTTCACACAACAAATGTCTTTAATTGTGGATAACGCTCTCTGAAGATTGTCAGGTAGCCTGCATGGATTGAAGGGGAGATAAAAAGAACAATTCTTCCATTATATTTATTTCGTCTCAAATGTATGTTTATTACACATGAAGTTGTTGAGTTAAAGTAGGGGGGGGNGTTCGAAATTGGATGGTTTTTATGTTTCCAGAGGTCTTCTCAAATTCCCCACAAATCCATAGAAGATAACATATGTAGAAGGTATATTTCAATCCAGTTAATAATTATGGTTAACAACAATACATTGGTATAAATTGATTGATATATAAATGTTAACAGTGTTTTATATTATAAAATATTCTTACTATTTGAGGATAATGGGGTTAATTGAGGCATCTGGTTATCAAAAATAAAACAACATTTAAACTTCTGAAATAAATCGACAGTTGGTTGGAAAGAATTATAAATCACGAATTTTAAAGGTTCTCAGCTTTATATATTTGAAGTTTGAGCGCTACATGTGAGGGTGTTTACTGTTCTGTCAGAGGTATAAAAATGTTTGGTTTGGCCACTGGAGAACATCTTGGTCAAAGATGACCTGACCTTACAGCGGAGTAAGCTTTAATTGTTTTGGTTAACAGTGGCCCCAGACGGTGGTTCGAGGATATCAGGGTTATTATGTATACGAGAATAAAGATAACCAAAAACAATGCAAAGGTTAAATTTGTATTTGATTGATTGATAGGCACATGATTGATTGATTAATAATAACAAGAAATGATGTGACAAGATAAGGTACATATGTAAGATTAATATTGTTGGTACAAACGAACAGAATAATTGCATAACTGTATCATCGTGAGTAGGCTGCTGTTAGGCGCATAGTGGAGGTTTAGTCTAGGGGGGTGCATTTTTTTGTGCACCCCCCTAGAAAACTGGTATTAAGAAAAAATAAAGTTTAAAATCCCGATAGGGGTGAAGGATCCGGGACAATTATTGGTTTCTTTTTCCTCAATATTGTTCAAATTAGAAATCAAAATAATAAGAAATAAACGATAAAAAGCTGTGAATATCAAATTAAACTGGGTTTTATCTTAAGATTATAAAGAATTAGCTGTTAATTTTCTGGGAAATTTTAGAAACCGTTAATTTTTTCCCTTACTACCACTGACCACTGACTACTGACCACTGACTACTGACCACTGACTACTGACTACATTCACATAATAGTTTCCTATGACCAGAATATTTTATTGATTTTTTATGTGAAAGATGGATCCTATGTCAGACTTTGACATACTTCTTGTGTTCACATTACCGCCCAGAGACAGTACACTGCAGTACAAAAGATGCGTACACCTCTGAAATAACTTTCCTGGCATCACAACCTTGCAAACACTTTTTTGGTACAGATAAACATACATGAAGTTTCGGCCCCCTGATCTCTGTACATTTATATCTGGTAAGTTGAAAAATGTCGTCTTATGNCCCCCCCCCCCCGGGGACCAATCATGAAGCCAGACGTCAGGGAAAAGCTCGCTCAAATGAATGAATAAATGAATGAACAGATGATTTCAAAATGAAGAACGTGCCCAGCTCTACATGCTGAACAACTTCTGTAATTAATGGTGTTTCTGTTAATTTAAAGTATAACAGTAGTCTTCCTATTCCACAATTTAATGGGTCCCACTGTGTTTAGTTTGAAGATGAGGGCCAAAAAGAAGAAATCGATGCCAAAACCCTTCTTTAAAGAAGCGATGAAATACTTTAAGGTATTTTTTCCTTTTAAAAATATGGTACAGGGTATTTTTTATCTTACAAATTTTGATTCTTCTCTATACAGGGAAAAATAAAATATATGTTCATATGATAACATTTATTAATAACATATTATGGGAGGATTTGTTTACAAAAAGAATTAGATGATTATTTCAGAAGATGTTCAAAGTGTCCGCCCTAATTCTCCAAACAAAAGTTGCTCGATTTTCCTGAACTTATTACTTATAAAACTTTTAATTTGAAAAAAAGCTTGTCAGAACTCAAAACTGAATTAGTTTTGTATTGATATTAGCGCCGCCTCCTGTATAGGTTATTGTTGTTACTATCTGTATTGCTATAACATGCTGGCAAGGATATTCTTCAACTGAAAAGTACATTGCTGAACCAAAAATCATGCATGAGACCATCAAACCAACCAAAGGTACACTTAGAGATAAGCAGAGTGTTAAGATGCATAAATTTACGCATTTCAATCCATAAATCTGTACAAATTTTACGTAAATTACTTCAAAAATACTAAACTTGACGCACAAGACCATCAAACTAACCAAAGTTACAGTTAGAGTCAACACTGTTTTAAATTCATAAATTTATGCATTTCCAAAACAAAACTGAACCAAAAATCATACAGAAGATAATCTCAACAACCAAAGGTACAGTTAGAGGTGAGTACATTAGTGCTTAGACTCGTTTTTAAACATTTCTTTTTTCTGCAAAAGACTTAAAAAAAATTCTAAGATGTTTGTCATTTTACAAAGTTTGTATTTTTCCCTTTACTCTATTACCAAATTACAAAAATTACCCAAGGTCCAAAAAAGACGTAATACTCAATAATTTCACCTATTTAAAATATGTAAAATTTGTGGATATCAAGAATAATAATATGATAATCGTACCCAGTCAGGGGTTGAAGGGAGCTTTGATTGAGGGAGGAATAATCAAAATGAAGAAATGGTAAAGGATAGATTTTCAAAGATCCTCAAGTTAAAAGGGCCCACAGTGGATCGATTATGAGCCAAACCAATGGGCACAATCTCAGCTCGTATGTTTCAACTAACTTGTATTTAGATATCTATAATAAACAAGTTAACATTAATCGACGTAATTACAAGTTTTATGTCGATACATTACATACATACTTTTTTGGTTTAAGTTTAAGGTACGTATTTACAAGATCAGGATAGATAGATATAACATAGCTAAGCTATCACGTAATACATGTTTAACCATGTTACGTAGTTATTTACAGCATAGATAATAATAATGTACCAACGTAGTTCAGGTTTACAGATATCGTGTTACACGATATTTATTACAATTACGCGAAATTTATTACACAGGGTGTCCCAATAAACATGGGAATTAAGCAACAATGTTATTATCGTCTTTGTTCCATAATTATTAGGTTAACACAATTCTTGTTAAAACATTCAACACCAAAAACCACTAGTCATGAGATTTTCATAATGTGACCTATACCATTTTTGAACTTTTAAAATTGACGGATATATTAAGAAAGTTCTCCAGATTCGAATTTATTAAATAAGGCAGAACTGTTTAAATACTTAGGTTAATCATCGTCAGTTTTAAAGATACAAAGAAGAAAGACCACATTTTGGAAAACTCATGTGGCGTAAAATAAATTTTGATACATCCTTAGACATTTCCATTTATTTAAAATCAAAGATGATATTTAATTTGTCTCTTAATTCCCATGTTTTTGAGACAGCCAGTACATCCTGGCCACATTTGCCATAAATTATTGAGTCTCTCCAATACACTCTAAGTTTTATTTTTAAGCTTGAAAAATGTTAAACAAAAAATATGTTAAAAACAAGTTCTGAAGTAAATTTCATCGTTTATATTATAATCATAAAAATATGGGATGGTATATAGTCCCTCAAATTACTCTGACAAAAGATTTCTCAAAATTTAGCATGTTATAAATTATCATAGTCTTCCTAAAGTTTTAATGCAATCTTTTAGATGGAGCTCCGGATTTGCGACTTTCTGTTTGCAAAAAAATGAAAGTAGGAGATTGTTCAGGTTATTATGAATGAACTTGTTTGGGTGCCCAGCTTAACCTCTAAATCTTAATTTTCCGACCCCACCTTCTCAATCTCCCCTTCTCTCTGTTTAATGCCACTTGTCACACCCCACAATAGGGTGTCCAATGTCCAGGGAAATGGTAAAAGGAATGCATGCAAAATACAAATTTTGTATGAAATGTAAATTGTACATTTCTAACTACCTTCTTGTCTTGTGTATTAAATTTTTTGAGCCTATTCTGCTTTTAGTATGGAACCTTTTAAAATTCAGGTGGGCAAGATAAAAACTGATATTATGGAAACTACTTTTTGCGTAACTTAAACACAAATTAAGTGTTTGCACAAATTGTGCAAAACTGACATACTGACATAAAGATAGAGAATTTTATTTATCTTAGCAATAGTTAAAAAGATGTGAAGATGTAAAGATGTAATTTGTGCAATTTGCAATAACTGATTTAGTGCACAAGATTTATAGAAAAAAAATGTCTGGATGAAAACTTTAATGAACATTTGCCAAATATTATTTTAAGGAATTGCTTAGCAATAACGCTCCCTTGCTTGCCTTGCACCATCTTCAGTGTTTGGCACAATTTAGCACAATTAATTAGATTAAAAGGCCCCAACAAAAATATAGAAGGTTTAAAAATAGTTTGTCATGAAACATTTATACTTCTATAAATTGTTGTTTCCAATTAAGAAATTCTAGGTTTTGATATTTTGTCAACAAATACAAAAAGCAAACTTAAAAATTTTATTTTTAGATATTAGAACCTTCTCATTTGTCTCATTTATTGTAGGAACTAATAAATAAACCCTACATTGGTCAGAGTGTTGGGAAATCTCACTGAGATACTGTTTGTTTCAAACAAATCCCAATCAAGCATAAAGATTTTGACACTTACATGTTTCAGCTATTGTGGATATCTTTGCTACATATGAGTACTATACTGAGGTACTTTAATCTTACAAAATACTTTTTACTTTACTTAAAAAATGTGAGAACATGATTCATCCCTACCCATCATCAAAGTTTGAGATGGAATATTTACTGTTCATGTGATGATCAGATGTTTTATGGAAGTTACTGAGACATCACAAGATAGATAAAAAAATCCTAACAAACTATCAAAAAGAATATTTTCATACATATGATAATTTTATTGCGTAACATCCAGCCAAGGCAACAAAGTGGTCAGCCAGGACACAAAAATGGTCAGCCAGGACATGAAAGTGGCCCCAAATTTAAAACCCTCATAGTCTGTATATAGTATGTCAGTAGTATGTACTTATTGCACAATGCAAATCTTCCTGGCCTGTGCAATGTTCATCTTGATTGTAATACTCTGGTTTTGGTTTGGTTGTCCTCGGTATTAGTCATCTT